ATGTAATTTTGACACGCAGCGCAGTGTAATGTAAAAAATGTTTCGACATGTACTTGCTCTCGTCGACTATGTTTTAAACCCGATTACCGGTAAAATGCATGAATTATCGGCGGTGTCTCCGCGAATGTTAAAAAATTAAATCAGCGTTACTTCGAATTAGGTAAATACGACGGGCATTCACGGGAGTCCAAATGCGCATCGGGATGTACGCAACGCTTTGCCGCCTTCGGGAGGTCTAAAAGCGAGCTTCCCTGTAATTCTCGCTGATCCAATTACGGTAACGCGGGGAATAAGTTAGCGCGCGCGCGGCAACGGGAAAGGCGGTACAAGTATGCGATTTCTAAACAAAGCACGAACCTGGAAGCGGCCGGCAGCACTCCGTACCGTCCATTCTTAAACCGCATCGAACCAGCTAATTCGAAGTCAAATAAAAGAGCTCGCAATGGTGTAAGCTTCGACGACGGCGCGTTTCTCCTTTATATATCCTTAGCGTGCGCCCAAAAGTTTTTCCTTATTTCAAATGTTAGCTGAAGGTTACGCGGCCCGGTTCCTTCGCTCAACGCCACCATGTAGGCGTGTACGTGCTGTGATTTAACAGCCAGTATCCGACATTTATCGCGCAGAGAGTTCGAAAAGAAAGAAGTAATTAAGGGAAATTCCGACTGCGCCACCGTACGTCTCCTTCCCTTTGCTTCCTACGCGAGCGATGGTTTAACAAATTGAGATTAATCGAAATCTACTGAGAATTAAACCTTAAACTGTACTTCTATTTGGACAAAGCTTTCGCCAGAAGACTCGAGCTTGTGTTAAAAAAAAATGTATGAAGAATTTGGAGCAATTTGTAGAATCGATACGCAGATTTTTAATCAATCAGCGTTCACTCACTCACGTGTCTCGTATAACACCGGGTTACAACGAGCTCTGTTTTCAGACCACGTGTAATAACATGCGGGGCAAGCAAGTCCTGCATGCAAGCGAAGCATGTTAGCTCCACGCGCGCTACAATCTTAAGACAAATAATGATGTGTATAACGACTATCGACTATTGTTTTTGAGAAGAAAAAAAAGGCGATGTTAAAATTACATAATTAAAACCGCGAAAAAAATAGCGTCAAATAATTAAAGCACTTGATAAATTTGCAGTTTGCAGTAATATAACGAAATATCGAGTAGCAAAGCATGTATCGTATAGAATTTATGAGAATATTCGTAACGCTACGAAATTTTGCAAATTGCGATTGGAAAAGCGCAAAATTCACGACTCGTTTTATAACGTTTGCGCGCACAAATTCCAAGTCGGGGCCGCATCTACGTGCAATCGCGTCCCAACCGCATCGTCTCTCTCTCTCTCTCTCTCTCTCTCTCTCTCTCTCTCTCTCTCTCTCTCTCCGTCGTTTCGCTATATAAATAAATATCCATTGTTTCATATCATTCGCGGTGGGTAACGAGTCTAACGTCGTCGCCGGCGGTGCTTCGTCGCTTTTTCCGTCGCGCGACGGAATGAAATGTGGGACCCGGGCGCACAATGAAAGACTCACGATCTCGTCTCGCTTTTATTGCGGCACCGCCGCAACCCCCGCGCGCCACGTGTATAACTCTCCCCCGCGCGCGCGGTACGTGTATATGAATACGGACTTCGACGTACGTACACGACGGTCGTAAATCCTTATAAACTTTATACCTCCTTAATCCTCGAGAATTAAGGGGCATATGTCGCCGCGAAGCGAATTGTAAAAAATTGTCGAAACCCCCTTCGCGCGAGCGCCCCACGTCCGCGGCGCGATCCGCCCCTACGTCGGGGCCATTTCCTCTATGGTCACCCTTCTTGCTGGCGCCCCGCGCCCCCCCCCCGTCCCCTCCCGTTTCCATGGTGAACCTCTGTCCCCCGTGCTCTCGCGTCACATCCGTTTTTACAGGCTCCTGCCTCGAAACGAGAGAGCGAGAGACGAGAGACGTACCTATCGCGCGCGGCGCGGTGTGGTACCGCACGCACGAAACGTCCTGAAGAAAGAACTCAATCTGAATAACAGCAGCGTCGTTTTTTTTTTTTCACGTATAATTTGCATCGCGCTTCTCCGCGGACGATAATTCGGCGGAATAGTTCGGTCATCGAGATATGATAACCGCGAGAGAACTGTTAGACTCGATTAAAGGGTGAATAATTAAAACGTGTTAGTCTGCGTACGGAAACTGTATGCATATATTAATTATTATATCGAATTTATCATTCATGTAATCTATTAATTGTGAAACCGAGAAGAGACACATTGCAGCTGAACCGCAGAGTTTAAATACGTCGAATATATCATAGATATAATATATCAAAAAGAAAGAAGAAGAGAGAATAAATAGTAAATGTCTCGCAGCTGAATTCGTAATTTGCAACCGGCGCGGCGCAACAGAAACATAATCAAAAGCACGCGTGTCAGACTTTCGTCATGTAAATGTAATAAACCCATTCGTCCAGACATTCGCACACACACACACACACGCGCACACGGATCGATCGAAAGAGCGCGGATGATTACGCGTTTATTAATGCAATACGTCACCAGTCATTTTCGCGTGGCGTTTCCAATGCATATTACAGGCGCAATGCATTTAAGACAGACAACATTGATCCTCGTCGCCTCGCGATGCTCGATCGCCGACGATCGCTGTCGCGGTCATATTTCGTTGAACAATTCCTGCGATACTCGCGCCGATGCGCGCGGAGACGCGGCGACGGGACGTCGCGTCGCGAACACCGAGAGACAGCCATAGTTGATCGGCGCTATTACCATACCTGAATTTGGCGTCAAGCTCATCTCGTACCGCTCGGCCACTGGATCCTCCGGCACTCGTTTGCACGCGCGACTCGACGCGGAAGCACTCGCGGGATACGCGGCGCGAAAGCCCGACATGTTGATTTACTGCGCGAAGTCTCAAAATTGACGGAGTCTCGAAACGACAACGAATGCATGCTCGGCGGGGTCAGGCCGTGACGATGTCGAGTCAACGGTCGAGCGTTGATAACGCACTGAAATAGAATAGATAACCGGCTGTTCACGGTAACGAGATAATCGTTGCTATTGAGACGGTCGCGATCTTCGTCGGGCGACGCGGCGAACCGACGCTTACTTTTCTCCTTGATTCGCGCAGTTAGTTCGAACTAGTCCGACGACGCTGCGCTCCGATCGCAAGGCACATTCCAAAAACATGTTATGATTTCCATGCACGCGCGGTAAATCGTACTAAAATAGAAAGGATAACCGGCTGTTCGCGGTAACGAGATAATCGTTGCTACTTGCTATCGAGACGCCCGATCGCGATCTTCGCCCGCGGGCGACGCGGCAGGCCGATCGCTTACTTTTCTCCTTGATTCGCGTAGTCAGTACGAACTAGCCCCACGACGCTGCGCTCCGATCGCAAAGTACATTCCAAAAACCTGATTTCCATGTACGCGTAAAGCACAGACTTTTGCATAAGCGTCGGTCCACAATAAGGCTTTTAAGCCTTACACCGTAATATATTGACCCATTATAATCAATTATTCTCTTCATATTCGACTATGATTGGTCTGTTGTTTAGGGCTTAAAATCGTTGTGGATACCGATACTAAAGGTTCATCTACAATTAAAGTAGGAAGTCGTAAGCCGTAAGAAATTGACCAATCCCAGTCGATTATTCTTCTCATATTCGATTCTGATTGTTCAATTTATTACGACTTACGATTTACTACTCTCATTGTAGATGGACCTTAATGCTGCATAACGCATAAGACATAAGACATAAAAAAGTCAACCAATCAGAGTTCTTCTTTTCACACTCTGGCTGATTCTCTTATGCCTTATGTTTTATGCGTTATGCGAAAGTCTGTGTCTCGGCCTTTAGTCAGTAAAGACAGTACACCAATCGTGGTTCGCATTTACAAAATATTAGTGCGTTTTGAAATTGATAAAAAAAGTATCACAACCTATTTGTCCACAACTGTACACATGCAAAAAACGCATTAAAATAATAAATTATTAAATAATAAATCTGAATTTAAACAATAATGTTTCTAGTCTATTTAAAAATATATAAATGATTATTAATAACTAATTATTAATAACAAAGAATTTTTATTTAAAAAAATAAATCTTTTTTTGTAATAGATGTGAGAAATAAGTAGAAAATACAATTTTTATTGACAAATTAAGATTAGATTAACTTTAAATGAAAATTTACTTGAGGATCAGTCATTCGTTATTTGAATTATTAAAAATACTTATAAACTTTAATATTGCTTATTCTTTATTATTTACTATTATTTTTTATTTTTTAGTAATTTGTTTATAAGAAAACATAAGCTCCATTCTTTGTACTAATTAGAGTCCTAGATTATCAGAGAAGCGCGACCGGCTTATCGCAAAAGTATTAGAAAATATTAAAAATGTACTAAAAATGGCGTCAAATGGCCAATTATAATACCGATAAATCAATCTTACGATTGGCCATTAGCGAGTCCACTCGTAACACCGGTAGCGCTTCTCTGATAATCTAGGACTTTAATTAGTACAAAGAATGGAGCTTATGTTTTCTTATAAACAAATTACTAAAAAATAAAAAATAATAGTAAATAATAAAGCAATATTCAAGAATAAGCAATATTCAAGTTTATAAGTATTTCTAATAATTCAAATAACGAATGATTGATCCTCAAGTAAAT